TGCCTTCAGCCCCAGCCCCAGAAAAGGTTTGAGCTGATGGGATTAGAAAAACAAAGACTCCCAAGGACAGGAACATACAACCTCAAATACAAAGCCACAGGAACTGGAAGAACCTCAAATATAAAGTCCAAAGAAGGTATAAAAGTCCACTTATCCCAACTCCATTTTGTCAGCTTTCCCAGAACCACATGCTGTTGGTTCTGTTCTTCAATAAACAGAACCTTCTTCCCCAAGCAGTCTCCGTTTTGTTTATTCCCGGCTTGGACTGGACCTGACGATTTTTCTTTCAACAATACAGAAGGCAAACACACAGATTGAAATAAGTAAACTTTCAACTATGGATCTTCAGGGCCTGAATATCGCAGTAGCAAATAATCTGCAGCAGAATTTATCAGTCCAGATTAAATTGTCTACTCTACTTGCAAGGGGCCTTCTGGAATCTTCCAGTTTCATTCTAGCCTTATTTGGTTAGGAATACATTTTAGCAATTGGCAATGAAAGGTAGAAATCTGTTTAGGTTTGAGCAGGGAAATGCTTTAACTTGACAATCCAAAATCCACTGAAATGTTTTTTTTTTTCTTTGTTGCAGTGTGATCATTATCACTAAATGTCAATGCATGAATCCTCACATATCTAATGCTATAGGATGCTACATTCAAACATTATCTGAATTTCTGCCAAGTATAATATATTTTATTGGAATTTGATTGCTGGGTTGTTAAACATCATTATTCCATCAGGCTGTGCAGTGTGAGCAGACTTTGAATTCTGCTGAAAAGCCACATTCCTTACACTTTTATTACTACTGCAAATATTTTCAGTCAATGATGAGCAAATCTGCAGTGTACACTTACTTAAACGGCTTCTATAGCCAATTCAGATTTATACTGGCGTTATACATTCTCTTCTTATGCATGATTTAAACATACACCTAGAAATAACAACAAATGAAATTATTGAAAAGATGAGATTTATGGACAAGCATGCATAAATCAGGTCTTCCTTTAAGATTCTAGCTAGCAGAATCTTTATTATATTAGGTTATTCTATCTTTTCCTGCAGTCATAAACATTCTCAAAATGAGTGTGTTGGTACCCACACAGTAAAAATCACAAAACCTTTTGAACTGGAGAAATGTGTTACAATTACCATTTTTTTGGTCACAAGCAACAAAATTTGTTGGATGGATTCCTTTCTGCCTATCCATGAAGAAGTATGGTCATTTTCATAGACAACCAAACAGAAAACAGAATTATTTGTTGGTTGATTTGAGACATGTCTAAGACTCTGGGGGTGAGCAATACAATCATATAGTCATACAATTAAATAAACACACAAATGTTGCAAGCAAACAATCATTTTTCTGAAATAGTATAGAGTTTTTTGCCTGAGCAGGGGGTTGGACTAGAAGACCTCCAAAGTTCTATTCTATTCTATTCTATTCTATTCTATTCTATTCTATTCTATTCTATTCTATTCTATTCTATTCCATTCCATTCCATTCCATTCCATTCCACTCCACTCCACTCCACTCCACTCCACTCCACTCCATTCCATTCCATTCTATTCTATTCTATTCTATTCTATTCTATTCTATTCTATTCTATTCTATTCATTATTCTATTCTATTCTATTCTATTCTATTCTATTCTATTCTATTCATTATTCTATTCTATTCATTAGTCTATTCTATTCTATTCTATTCTATTCATTAGTCTATTCTATTCTATTCTATTCTATTCTATTCTATTCTATTCTATTCCATTCCATTCCACTCCACTCCACTCCACTCCACTCCACTCCACTCCACTCCACTCCATTCCATTCCATTCCATTCTATTCTATTCTATTCTATTCTATTCTATTCTATTCTATTCTATTCTATTCTATTCTTATTCCATTCCATTCCATTCCATTCTTTCTACTTCTATTCATCACAGTCAAGCACATAAGACCCAAAACTCATTCTAGCCAAGGTCTGGAAAAGAGCTCTTTTGAACATGGGCAAAGTGCAGTCAAATATATCTCGGGGGTGGGCAGAATGATGTTGATGATCATTCTCTGGTTCAACAGAGAAGGCACAGATTTTAGACCCATTGGGTGCCATTGCTTAATGGATGGAATTATTAAGTTGTGTCAATTAGCTTTGGTTCCATAACTTGAGATTTAGGAGTGGAATTAAGAACTCACAGTGAGTAGGTCCAAGATAGTGAATAGACGTGTCATCTTCATTGTCAAAGAAATAGGGTTCATTCTTTAAGTCTTAATGGCCAAACTACAAGTCAATATTAAGAACTCTAAGTTTTCCTGAAATCATATAGTGGAGGTGAGTCCTGCAGAAAATTGATTGCCATTCACTTCTTCACATCTATGTATAACATATCCAAGCCACCTTGATTTCAGAAAGTATAACCTCACAATAGTTTAGAACAGTGGTTCTCAACCTGTGGGTCGGGACCCCATTTGGGGTCGAACAACCATTTCATGGGGGTCGCCAAACAAGGCTGTCCGCCATTTTTTCCCCCTTTTCTTTGGCCACGCCCCTGGCACCCGGTGATGTATAAGTGGTTGGGGGTCACCACAACATGGGAACTGTATTATGGGGTCGTGGCATTAGAAAGGTTGAGAACCACTGGTTTAGAACAACTAAGACCCAAGAGATGGAAACATCTTGAAGATGTTCACTCAGACTTGAATTTTATTCCCAGGCTGAAAGACTAGACTGACAAGTGGGGGAAAAAAAACACATCTTGGAAAACTTCAACTGAAAATTAATGCTAAAAACAGTGTTATGTGAATACAATCACCAAGCTTCTATTTCAATTGAAGGTATCTTTACCATTTATATTGTTTACATGGTTCTTTTTTTTTTACTAGAGAAATGCATATTATTAAGAACGGTGTACTGGGCATTATTTGGATGTGCAATATATTTATAACATAATGGCAAGAATGTTTTGTTTTGTTTTGTGTTTGGGGCAGTGTTGATTCTAGGCAATTGTCTGCACAAGTCCTTGCAATTTTCTTGGTAAGATTTATAGAACTGGTTGGCCGTATCACCCAGATGGCTTTGTGCCTAAAGCAGGACTAGAACTCCCACTCTCCCAGTTTCTAGCCTGTTGCTTTAACCACTACACCAAATTGCCTCTCAACGGCAAATAGAAAAAGCCAAAAAAATACCGGTTGGGTGAAAATTGGCTGTGGAATTCTGGGAGTTGAAATCCACATGCCTTAAAATTGTCAAGGTTGAGAAACACTGTTCTAGAATGTTTCCATATGTCCCTAAATTAAATCATGCCTACGTCAAAACGCGTCTTAATCAAAACACGCTGCTCTTCATTTGTAAGAAAGAATGGAGTATATGTGCAATAAGCGTCTTGTTATTCTGTTCATTTCCATTGTTCTGCTTCCATTCATTTGTTCTGTTATTTATTCATTATGCTTGCGCTTGTTTCGTTATGCAACCATTTGAATTCGTTTGTTTGATGAAACTGTGTTTTTTTTTGTTGTTGTTGTTGTTGTTGTTCCTTGTCATGCACCAGGAAACATTCTTTTTGGAAGCTGTTGGGGATGTGCACAATTCACTATTCTGAGACAGAATTGCATTAGGGACGTCACAGATCACTGCCTTTCCCAGTAAATTACTGGATCTCCCCAGGAATGAACAGATTGGCATAATCTAGGGGGAAGGGGCAAAGAGGTAAAGGACTGTTTTGGTGTTTCCTGGAACAGAACATTTTGTCCCCATCTTGAGATCAAAATTCTCAAAATGGTATAGGTTCTCCTGCTCGAGCAGGGGGCTGGGCTAGAAGACCTCCAAGGTCCCTTCTGTTCTGTTCTGTTCTGTTCTACTCTACTCTACTCTACTCTACTCTCCGCTCCACTCCACTCCACTCCTCTCCACTCTCCACTCCACTTCACTCCATTCCAGGTATTCTACTCTACTCTACTCTACTCTACTCTACTCTACTCTACTCTACTCTACTCTACTCTACTCTACTCTCCGCTCCGCTCCGCTCCACTCCACTCCTCTCCACTCTCCACTCCACTTCACTCCATTCCAGGTATTCTACTCTACTCTACTCTACTCTACTCTACTCTACTCTACTCTACTCTACTCTACTCTACTCCACTGCACTCCATTCCAGGTATTCTATTCTATTCTATTCTATTCTATTCTATTCTATTCTATTCTATTCTATTCTATTCTATTCTATTCTACTCTACTCTACCCTACCCTACCCCACTCCATTCCATTCCAGGTATTCTATTCTATTCCATTCCATTCCGTTCCGTTCCGTTCCGTTCCGTTCCATTCCATTCCATTCTATTCTGTTCCATTCCTTCCATTCCATTCCACTCCACTCCAGTCCACTCCAGGTATTCTATTCTATTCCATTCTATTCTGTTCCATTCCATTCTATTCCATTCCATTCCATTCTATTCTATTCTGTTCCATTCCTTCCATTCCATTCCACTCCACTCCACTCCACTCCACTCCAGGTATTCTATTCTATTCTATTCTATTCTATTCTATTCTATTCTATTCTATTCTATTCTATTCTATTCTATTCTATTCTATTCTATTCTATTCTATTCTATTCTATTCTATTCCATTCCATTCCATTCCATTCCATTCTATTCTATTTCTATTCTATTCTATTCTATTCTATTCTATTCTATTCTATTCTATTCTATTCTATTCTATTCTATTCTCTGTCTCCTAGGATGCTTTAGATCATATTGTGATGGTCTTCTATTTAGGCAATCTATTCTTGCCTGACCACGCCATAAGCATTTGGCTTGAAAGAAATGGCAGCTATTAAAATCAACCTCCCAATCCAGTTTCTATAATCCCATCACAAATCATCCTTGCAATAAATGTGACTTTAAAAAAAAAATCTAAAAATACAAAACTCCCCAAAGAGGCAGCATTATTATTTTTTTTTCCTGTATAAATGAATATAATATTGAATAGACTTCACCGGGATTCATTGTCCTTTTTTTTTTTTTCAAAATTAATTCACATTCTTTCGGTGAACTCTATTATGGGATGACCTCAAAAGAGCTTCTGCTAGCCGACAAAATGGTAATATATGAAAACCAAGGCCTGTTTGCGTGCACTGCCTCTTGCTTTTCCTCTCTCTTCACCTCAATTATTTTCTCTTGAATTAGATAAATGTAAAATGGGCTGGTTTTAGTAAGCAATATCGAAGGCCCTTCGTGTCTTACCATACTGATGCAGTCTGAAAACTTTTTCAAGGTAAAAGGGGAAAGGAAATATGAGCAGAAAACTCTGAAACAACTCAAAATAAAATAATAATAATAATAATCAAAAGGGAGAAATTGATGTTTAAAACGTTTAATGTTACTTATTGATTTTGTCAACAGAAAAAAAATGCAACAGAAGTATACAGACTTTGTCATTTGCTAATACAATCTTAATACAATAGGGAGATTATAATCTCTCCTATATCATGTAGCTTCCACACCTGAGAATGATCACCAACAGTGGACAGATCACCTGTTTCATCCTGTTTTAAATAAAGTTTGTGTGATTGAATACAAAAAGGGGAAAAAAATAAACGCATAACCATTAAATCAGAATGATATGATCAAGCAAACATTAAGTATTTTCACAATTGTGTCCTTTGACTCCAGGTTGGAATCAGCAGGAAGAAAGTGCTTGCCTTCAATTAAGGACTGAAGCACCATTTTAACACTGAATTTTGTGCATTAAGAAAGGCATACTGTGAAGTCAAGTGATTGTTTAAGTGTACACGGTATAAATGAATGCAAAATAATCTTTGCGTATAAATATAACAGATACAAAGCACCTATTTAAATAGGGAAATTTACAGTGTATGGCAGAAACTTGAAAACAAACAAACATTTAGAAAAAATACCCTTAAAGGTGTTATAACAAATAGAATTCCCCTAGTATCTTGTGTTGATGTTGATTATTATTTTTTCCTCATTAGAGAAAGTGATTTTTTTTTAGAAAAAAGCATAATCCCTGCTGTATCAAAATAATAGCTTCTTAAAATGATGACATGCTGTCCAAGCAGGCAATCAAAATGCATTGTCATTAATTGAGGATGAAAACTTTTGAAGGAGCTGATTGGCTGATAATACAATTATTTTCCCTCCCACTTTCTTAGGATATATAGGTATTTTCCCACGATTCTACAAGTGACCAAATCCAAGTTGGTCACAGAGGACACTTCAACAAAAGAAAAGGGGGAAAATCCAGCTTTATACTCTATGGTTCTATATTGGCTTAAGGAAGAAATACTGGCTATTTTCCAAAATGCTGCAGGCTTTTGCATGAGAAAGTTCCAATTTTGAGAACACGATAAGCCTATTCTTGGGTGATCACAGGATAATTCAGAGACATTTGATTAATGATGTACAGGAGAAGGAGGGAAAAGGAAGAGAAAACAGCTTCTCTCCATCATACTGCAGAACATTAATCTGGATCTCATGAGGGAGACAACAGAATGAAGCTGGTAGAAGTTCTCCAGAACTTCTGTACCATCTTTCTGGAGCATTAGGCAAACTTGCAGAAAGGAAAAAAGGATCATAAAAATCAAAGTATGGCAAGCCTTTGATGTGGGAGAAGGAAAAAAAAGTTGCTTTTGCCAAATTTGGGGTATTATTTCACTCATGTAGGCATGGCTTAGCGCAACCCACATTCCGTTCGTTCTTTCATCTTCCATTTTGCATCTTTGACCTGGCTTCAAACCTTTTTTTTTTTTAAATGCATTCAACTTGATTGTTTTAATGCATTCAACTTTTCTATAAATGCATGTGCATATGTGTGTGTGTGAGAGAGTGCATTTACACACACACACACAAACAATTATAACCTATTAAGTTTAAGTGGATCTAAACACATAAAGGGCTTGTATCTTTTAGAAAAATACTTTCAACAAGGGAAGGTGTTCTTTTAATCCAATCCCAATAATATTCCTAATGTTATAAATAAGTCAAGGCTTAACAATAACATATTTTTAAATACATATATTATGGTAGATATTCCAGCTTCCTGGCCAGACAATTTACGTTTTGACTGCCAAAAAGTTCACTCGTTCCCTTTTTTTTTTTCATGCAACAATTCAGCAAACTGACAGGGCCAATCCATATTTTTTTTTCCATCCATAATTATAAATGCTGGGTTTTCAGTCCTGAGGTATAGACACTATGTTCTTTGTTGATCTAGCAAACGCTTAGAGCTTTCCTTTACAATAATAATAATATGAATAAACTTTATGCCTATGTGGCATACTTATTTATTTATTTTTTTGACTCCAAGCATTTTGACATCACCACCATTCTCCAATTCTTCCAATAAATAAAAGACATTGATTTTGCTAATTAAATCTCGAAGGGAAATAGTCTGTCAATGTTCCAGTCTTCTCAAGCAGATTGAAGAGGGGAGATCAAGCTCCAATTTCTCCAATTTTTAGTTCTATGGAGGGTGAAATGTGACTTTGAAGGGTGTCCATCCACGGCTGACCCCTTTTTTCTTGGACAAAACCTTTCTCACATCCCTTCAATTCTCTTAAATCAGATCTTTCATTCTTCTGAAAGAAATGCCACCGTCATAGTAGTAACAACTTCTTTGCACACAAACATATATATTTATATATATATTCTTAAAAAGAAGAAGAAGAAATCTTTTTTGGAAAAATAAAAAGCTCTTGCTTTGAATGTGTTTTCAGTTTTTGCAGGGACCCTGCCTTTTGGGTATTGATTTCCATAAAGGACATTGTTGATCAGAGGTCATGTCTTTTTTTTTTTACGATCCAACATAGGCTAAGAGTTGGAAATTCGTTCATGAATATTTCACTTACGAGCGCATACATTCATTTTACACGATTCCTCAATGTGGCCGGGGGATTGTGAGGTCTGCAGTGTTCCCACCTATAAAAAATACAAAAATATATGTCTGCTTACCGGGATGTGAGCAGGGTTTGGCTAACCTATACCTATCACCCCAAAAAATATTATTTGTTGTTTCTTTTTTAAAGGAGAGATTCACTGTTCTGCACCCTTCAATTCAATAATGCTCCATTAGCTTTGATTTGCACATTTATAAAACTGCAAGGAATTCAAGTTCAAGAATGACAACTTTAAAAACAGAACAGGTTTGTTTAAATTATAAGTCTACTGAATTTCATCTCCTTTTTTTTGTTAGGCTGCTGTGCACGGGCTGTATGTGTGTTTTTGTATTTTATTTAGTCCTTAAAAATGTAGAGTTATCATCCTGAAAGGGAAACAGAAGTTGCATTTCATTACTAAGTTATCAGGGTCTCAACCAGTGAAATTTAACATGGGGATAAAGAGGCCATAAAAAAATGCATTGCTGGAGTGAATGCACTGTTAAACATAAATAGTTTTTATCTGGTGCTAAAAATTTAATTGCTCCCCCTCTTCCCTCCAACATCCAGAAAATCAAAAGAAATAGTGTTGCAGTAAACTTGTTATACAACTTTTCTCTTACATAAAGCTTGACAGCTGTAATCCAGGCAAAGGAGGGGAAATATATATATTATCCAGGCAAAGGAGGGGAAATATATATATTATATTTATATATATATATTATATATATATATATATATATATATATATATATATATATATATATATATATATATATATATGACATTTCCTAGATGTTAGTGGAAGAGATGAAGATCAAACCGTATGGGAATTTTATTTTATTTTATTTTATTTTTGCAAGCCAGAAAAAAGAAAAGAAAAATAGAACCCGTTTGGCATAATGGTTAAAGGCACCAAGCTAGGATTAAAGAGCTGGGGTGGTGCAGTGGTTAGAATGCAGTACTACAGGTGAACTCTGCCGACTGCAGGCCGTTCAATCTTGACCAGATCAAGGCTGACTCTGTAAACTACTTAGAGAGGGCTGGAAAGCACTATGAAGCGGTATATAAGTCTAAGTGCTATTGCTGTTAAAGACACCAAGCACGGCACTCAGAGACCCTAAGTCCCAGCCCTGCTTAGGCACGACTTCCAGATATGTGATTTTGGGCCAATCAGAAGCAAGCTGGGATCAGTTTTCGGACTACCCAAGCTTATTATTTAACAAATGTATATGCCACTCATCTCATGGTGCCAGGCTTACAACAAAATAATATGTTGTTGTAGTACCTTCATTTGGGTCAATTACTGGCTCAATTTTAGGAAGAAGGCAATTCCAAACTGAAGACATTGTATGGATTTCTCCAGGCAATCCTCAAGTGTCAGTACTGACTTAAAAGGTGCCATAATAAAGAAATAAACAAAGCAACAAATGAGTTAATCTTCCCCAGAGCCATGGTGGTGCAGTGGTTAGAATGTAGTATTGCAGGCTATTTCTGCTGATTGCCGGCTGCCAGCAGTTTGGCAGTTCGAATCTCACCGCTCAAGCTTGACTCAGCCTCCCATCGTTCCGAGGTCGGTAAAATGAGGACCTAGATTGTTGGGGGGGGTCAATATGCTGACTCTGTAAACCGCTTAGAGAAAGCACAGTGAAGCGGCATATAAGCCTAAGCGCTATTGCTATTGCTATCCACTTACGCATCTTGTGAAACCACACCACCAGCTAATAACCAATCACTGTTTTCTTTATTTAATGGCCAAGATTTACAACTTGTCTTTCCACTTGGAATTCAAGTACGTCTTCCCTCCCCTCCCCCCCCTTTTATTTTTTATTTTAAAAATGTATTATTGTTTTGATGATGGTTGGTTACAGAGTCAGCCAAATGTTCTGACCAGATTCCTATGTTCCTCCTATCTAGTCATTCTCAAGGACAGATGTTGCTGTTTCATGGTGTTCAAAGTATTGTTGCAGGATGTAAAACCGTTCCAAGCAAAGCTGCCAGTTTGCAACTGACCGGCGGTGATTTTGTCAATGCCCATGGTGTTCAAATGGTGTTGCAGACATTTAGGAATTGGACCATGGTGCATTTTCCTATGGCTTATTCTACTCCTATTACTCCTACTTCTATTACTATTATTATAAGTAACCTGCAGTTAAATTCACAAATGACTGGTGAGAAGTTAATAATTCCAGTCCTAACCAAGGACGTACAAATTAAGATAATACCCAATGATATAGGTAGTTCAAAGCAAGGTGGTCTGTTATTGCTTTGCTCTTGTTGTTGTTGTTTTTTTGTAAAAAATAGAATGTGTGGGTCCAATAAATTCAAAATTTCTGAAAACTGAGGGAGTCTTTTATAATTATAATTATAATTATAGGCTTTTTCTCTACAACTGCCCTGCAAAGTTATGTTTAAGTGAGATCAAAAGGTCTCCAGGGGTAAGACTGGACTTGTATTTTATTTTCCCATTCCTAATTTATTGCGTAGGTCATTTGGCTACCTGATCCTAATTAAGCCATGATTTGTCACCGATTCCAGTAACATATCAAGCAAAACTAACTTATGTTTCGGCACACAACTCAAACACTGCACTGCATTTGGCGTTTGAACTACGCCAACTATAACTTAAGTATTTGGGCAGAGACTTAGCATGCTTCTATGAAGCCATAATATAGGCTACACAGGTAAACCTTGATTTACAACAATTCATTTAGTGACCGTTCAAAGTTACGACGGCACTGAAAAATGGGACTTATGACCATTTTTCACCGATACGACCTTTGCAGCAGCCCTGTGATCATGACATCCAAATTCGGACGCTCGGCACCTGACCCATACTTATGACAGTCATAGCGTCCCGGGGCCTCGTGATCCCCTTTTGCAACCTTCTGACAAGCAAAGTCAATGGGGAAGCCAGATTCACTTAACCACCCTGTTACTAACTGAACCACTGCAGGGATTCATTTCACAACAGTGGCCAAAAATGACTCCAAATGGGGCCAAACTCACTTTAACAACTATCTCACTTAGTGACAGAAACGTTGGGCTCAGTTGCAGGTCGTAAGTTGGGAACTACCTGTATTGCTTTTTGTTTGTTGGTTTGTTTCTACCTTTATCGATCAGCTATTTTCTAACATTCGAGATTAGTTAAAGCAACTGCATGTGCCAATTGCAAAATTAAAAAGGAAAAGATACAATTAAAATCAACATTTTTTAAAAAAAAAAAAGCAAAAGGTTAATTTTAATCACTTTTCTAAACCAGAGAGAGAGAGAGGGGGAGAGGGAGAGGGAGAGAGAGAGAGAGAGAAAGAGAGAGAGAAAGAGGACCTCATTGGGGAGTGCATTTGTACCCCACGATAACAAAGCAAAAATCATTTTAGTTCATAACACATAAATAAGCTTCTGAAAGGAAGATTGGATGTATGGCAGATGGATGGATGGATGGATGGATGGATGGAGGGAGGGAGGGATGGATGGACAGAAGGATGGATGGATGGATTACTGACTGCCAGAAAGTCAGCTCTTTAACAAACACAAAATCAGAAGTGGTCAACTTCAAAAGAGCTTTTTCTGCTGATCTAAGGTTCATACCAGGAGATGCAACCCTCAAGTTCAGACTATAAACTATTTAGTACTCAAAAACTTCAAGTTGGGTCAGTAGACAACTGCTATCCTATACAACATATCTTTTACAATTAGGAATCATATGCTCTCCACACCATGGAGTTCGGTCGGCAGTCTAACCACCATCGTTTCCAGCTACTGTAATTCCTGGCAAATATTTCAGTGGCAGTCTAACGTAAAGCATGTTGCGGGAGCCAAGGTGAAATGTGAATGACTGTTGCTAATTAGCTTCATAGGGATCACACCTGGAGAAAAGGTGATAAATACGCAACCCTGCCTCATGCTACAAATGTCATTTGCAAAGCTAAGAACCACAAACTGCAAAGTTGTTTTTTTCTGGGGGGAAAAAATGTAGCTTGTTCTCCCTTATCATGATTATTGTAGGGAGCAATACAGCTAGGTGCAATCAGCATACTGCTAGCCTCTGTTCTAGAGTTCCAAATGTACTACTCTTTTAGATAGTTGTTAAATTTCATAGAGGACAGCATAGTACTGTGTGAAACGCTACTAGTCAATGAGTTAAATGTTGAACTGCAAACTTCCAGTCCTACTTTTTAAGTGCACCCCAGCAGGAAGGACCAAATTCACGACAAAGAAAGGTCTGCAAAATCAAGGGTCCCCAACCCCATTTGGAAATGGGCCAACAAGTGGCGGAGGAAGTACGCACATGTGTGCAAAGCTCCACTCGCGTTAGTGTCTCACGCACAAAGGCCCACTCACACAAACCGCTGCACATGCGTGTGCTCGCCACTCCCACAAATGGAGCTGTGTACGCATGCACGAGCCTGCCCCTCACAGAAAATCATCCCCCTCTTCATTCCCCCACGCCAAGCCAGAAAGGTTGGGGACAGAAGTGGGATTCAAATAGGTGAACAACCAGTTCTCTGCATGGATGCTGCTTCTGGAAGTCCACTCTAGGCCCGGGCAACAAAAAATTAGCTACCGGTTCTGCTGAAATGGTGCAAACCGGCTGAATCCCACCACTGCATCTTGGCCATCTGATGTTGTTTGATCTTGAGCAACAGTCTCCAACCATAGTGGGATTCAGCCAGTTCGCACCACTTTGGCAGAACCGGTAGATAATTTTTTGTTGCCCAGGCCCAGAATGGACTTCTGGAAGCGGCATCCACACAGAGAACTGGTTGTCCCATATTTGAATCCCACCACTGCCAAGATGCCATGGTGAATAACATCCCAAAAGTTGTTCAAAGATCCAAGAAGACTAGGAGGGCCCCACTAACTCCATCGAGCTTCTGGCACAGATCCTCAACCAAGGCAACCCTACCATTCTCTGTACTACCTCCCAGATGAATCACTGCTTGAAATTAGTCTCACTAATAAGCTCCATCCATAATCATCAGGAGATGACAACGTACCATCTTCTCTATTGCCCTACTCAGAAAAGGAAGATTAGAAACTGGTTGAAAACTCTATCAGTGATGGCTTTTATTTATTTATTTATTTATGAGACTTATATACCGCTTTTAAGTGCAAGCACTCTCTAAGCGGTGTACACCAGTAAGCAATGTATATATATATATATATATTTCCATTGCCCCCAACAATCTGGGTCCTCATTTTACCTACCTCGGAAGGATGGAAGGCTGAGTCAACCTTGAGCCAGTGAGATTTGAACCGCTGACCTGCTGAACACAGTCAGCTAAAGTGGCCTGCAGTACTGCACCCTAACTGCTGCGTGTCCTTCCCATGACCGTGCAACCAGTTCTAATCTGTTCCTTTTTCTTTTCAAATGCATTTGTTG